CCGCACTATAGCGTTTCCTTGTTTACCGCTGTAAACAAAGCAGAGCCGCGCTTTATACGGAGAAGAAAATGCCCTTCAGTGCACTGAAGTACCCTTCAGTGATACATTAATATAACCCCATAAATGTAGTGCATTTTTGTACTTATTTTACTGTTTTTTTCGGGATCTACTGGGACAGTGATAAAGATCTACCAGTTGATCGTGATCGACGGGTTGGCGACCACTGCTTTAGAGAAAAGTATTATCTTTCCTATTTTTACCCAAAATAGGGTGTTGTGAGCAGTACACACGTAATGTAATTACGGTTTATTTTTACCGGTATATCGCAAACGATAAGATATCGCCCATCCCTATCAACAATGGCAACATTTTTACCATTTTACAGCCAGATTCTGAACTTCTCCATTCTTGTCCTCCAGGAGTTTTAAGATCATTTTGACCACCTTCCGTTCACTATCATCATCCAGCTTTATCGAATCCTTCTGCAATTCGGACATCAAATCATTGGTGGCCATGAATCTGAGGGAATAAACAAAAACTTATTGTGAATGACTTATCAGTTCATTTTATTATAAAGAAAAAGACGTTTCTTCTACCAAAATTTAATAACTTGTGACCAATCCCTACCATCCAACAACGTCATAAAAAGACCTGTTTTCATTATCCAACCAACTGCCAATAGATAAAAATCAATCATCAACATTTTCTTCCATTGCATATCCTGTTTCACTCATAAAAACCAACATTTTACACAAGCAATGACTAGCAGTTGCAAGGTTTTTTCTTCCCCAGAGGGGTTCCCAATGGTCCAGACACACTGACACACTTAGAGGGTTTCATTTGACTTCAGCACTAACAGAATGGTTAATGTAAAGTCACCCACGTGGCCGTAAAGTGAGACCAACCTGTATGGTGAGGCTGCTGGCATTGTCTCAAAACAAATGGGCTGACTGAAGCATTTTCACCTTTTCATCTCACTTGTCATGGTTTGCTAAATTCATAATCCACTTCTAAGATGAAACTGGAGTGGATTAAAATGAAATCTTGTCTTTGGGTGCCAACATCAAAGCCTCAGCATTGAACCTCATGTGATGTGAGTGAAAACCTTCTGCATACCCTATTACATGCCATCTCTCTTTCTTTCTCTCTCTCTCACACACACACACACACACAGACCTAAGTGCATCTGCTTTGGCATATATTTGATGGCATGGAATCTTATTCCAGCAAGAGCCTAAGAAAGAATGAATAATGCATGAGACGCACACGCTCCAACAGCAGGGTGAGAGAGGGAACGCCAGCACACACCAGCAGTGGAGACCTAGAACGGTGTGTAAGCAAAATGTTCCCAGGGGGTGAAATCTTGTGAAATTCAGAAAGAGCTGGAATGAGAACAGCAAACGGTTTGACGGAGATGACAGGCAGGCATGATTCTGGGAATATGATATGATGACTGACTGCATTAGAATTCATTTGAGAATGCCTGTCAGATATGTATAAAACTCACAAACCATTAACCTCCTGGTGGCCAGTGCTGAATATACTGACATCATTAAAAGGGAATCCCCCAACAGCAAGACAGCCTAAAATACAAATTGTAACTGTATAGACCTAATCATAACTGTATTAAACTTCCTGATAATCATTATGCTTTTTAACTGTTATCAACATATTTACATGCTTCTGGCCTTGACAGCATTTCTGACCAGGCAAGTATTCTCAGAACAAAGTCTACAAGTAACTGTCATGCAAGATTTGCTTATTGATATTGCATTTAAGTAAACTAGCTATCATTATTAATTTTTAAAAATAATTTCTTCTTCAAATGTAATCATTTGAAACAAATCATTTAACACAGTCTGACTTATCAAAGACAAGAGTCAACCACTGCATTTATGCCAGTCTACATGTCAGTACGCAAATGTAAAAATGAGAAGGTTTTCTGAAACAATGAATCCAGAGATCGTAATAAAAAGAATAACCCCTAAATTCAAGATCTGCACTTCACATCATACAAACTTCTCCAAAAAGTAGCGTATGTAGTTTAATTCCTTGCACATATCATGGACGTGCACTTATGCTAACATTAGCCGACTTACATGAACCCGAGGGGAATAAATCACATCAAGTAACGTTACGAGATATTGGACTGACTTTACAACTCTCTGCACATTCCGCCCATGGTTTGGTGTAAATTACTGTACTCGTTACGAATGATATGACCGTTTGTGTGGAGTGCCATCAAAACGAAATGCTAAAGCTAATCGGATATACTAGCGGATAGCTAGCTAACATCTATACTAAAACCCACACTTTTTGACAGCATCCGTTCCAGCAAGCAATGTCAAATTAACAATTCAAATAGTCAATTATAGCCATAAATATATTAACTGTTACCCATGCACAATTTCAAACTACAAAAAAAAAAATGGAGCCCCGCATAGTATGAGTTTGACATGCTAAGCTAAGCAGCTATATCTAAACAACAGTCGCGCTATTCGCGGCCTAAAACTTTCTGCGATCGATTCGTTATTTATTAAGACATTTAAACATCATCACAAGCCCCATAAATACACATGCATGCTCCTTAACACTCTGTCTAGGCATCTGCACTACGCCTGACCTGAAATCCTTGTCGCTGGATGTCATTTTCTCCAAAAGGTTAGAGATGTGGTAAGAGGCACTCGCCATGTTTGCAGTCTGGAAAACCACTTGTGTGTATGTTTAGGGCCAGAATTATTTAGTTCGCCTCTTTTTGGAGGTTTGAGGGGGTTGTAAATTACAAGACGAATATCCAGAGTTTGTTGTGCAGGTAGGTGATCAGCAGCAGCTGTGCGGGGAAGAGCAGACGCTCATGCCTTGAGTTTGGATGGGTTTGAATGGAGGTGCTGCTCGGCTCGGCTTCTGCAGGAGGGAGGAGCTCAGACTAGACAGGCGCTACTGTCTGTGAGAAGACAGGGTGAGAATGGGGCTGTGTTTCAAAACATTGTGAGCTGCCTACTTGGATAGCATGAGAACTCCATCTTTTGGGCATCATTTTCGTGGTAATGACAGGTAAAGGTGTTCTTATAAATATTATTTGATTGTACACAAATCATTTAGCACAACCCTTTATTGTTCTGTGCTCAAAATTAATCATACATGTGCTGTTATCTGTCCCAGAATTGTGTAGGTTAGTGGGTAAATATATAGATTAGAAAGTCAACAATTAATATAACTTGTTGGCCAAATGTTTGCTTTGTTTGTGAAGGGTCGCAAGTTATATTATATGGTACATTTGTACATTTCTTGACTGGAGAGATAGATAGATATATATATATATATATATATATATATATATAGCAATTGCCTTTACCTTTACAGTATATTATCTGTACTCCCTAAGACAGGTTTGACTTCTGGCCCGAGTGTTAGGTGTACCCTCTATGATACAATTTTTTTTGTGTGTGTGTTGTATGTCTTTTCTATAACATATAAATGCATATTTTTTTTACAGTGATCCAAAAATCTGAGATCACATCTGTTATTATTATACCAAAACAGAGGGATGAAGCAAATCTTATGCCTTTTTTTATGCAACAAAGACTTTTGCCTTAGACTTTTGGACCCTAATGTGAATTTAACACTTACAAGACATTCTTTAATTTCTTAGATTAGTTGTTCTTAGATTATAAGGAGCTGAATGTTACAGAGATACAGTATGTGTTTTTCTGTGATGGATTTTGTGTATTTGCATGATGTCTTTGCAGAAGACTGCTTTTCAGCATTGTCTGACCCACTCTTACAGTCCCAAAATATGCATTCAGCATTACAATGTCTTTTTTAATTTGTCTCTGAGATCGATATATGGTATGGTTAGATGCACTACACATTGTTTTTGACTCAGTAGGAGACAGGTCAAGTATAATTAGGATTACAGTCCTCGCACTGTTGGCGGTGCAGAGCGCGGTCATGCAGTGAAATGCACCCTTGCGCCTCCATATGCATGCAAATATATGAATCATAGAATAACTGAAGATAAAAAAGCAGTAGAAATAGTTATTGTGTGTAATGTAAATGTAATGATATACATTTTCACTGACTAAAGGTAACTTATATATAAATATCTGGCTTTGATTTCATGCTTGTCAATCCGTCAGTTTATTTTGAAGCACAACATCAAATCAATTTACCATGAAATCAGTTATGATTTCTCAGAATACCCTCAACAGCTGTGTGGAAAATGGCTCTTGGATCGACACCAGGTGGCAAAGGCATAGAAAGGAAATAAAAAGAAGATAGAAAGTGTGTGTCTGCATGCAAAAGCACAGATGATATGCGAAATAAAGCAATTTCATTCAGGACTCATTAAGTGAGTGAATTTCTTTTTCATTTATTTTAAATAGCACACTATATTGAGATTTTAAACATGTCAGTGATACATAATTACTATGCATAAAACTGAATTCTATGAGAAACCTGTCATGTTGAGATGTTGAATTTGTTGTTAGTTTTCTTTAAGAATTATAAGATATCATTTTTTGGAGTATGTATGGAATTCAAACTGCCTTTTGATTGATCTCTGTTGCAGTGGGACAAGGCTCCAGTAGGTGTCATGAGAGCGGGAGCATGAGCATGTGTGTTTGTGTGTGTTTTGGAAAGACATTGAACTGAAATGATAGAGAGAGACCTCCTGCCATTGTGGAGAAACATCTCCTTGCACTGAAATAAATCTTTATGCTATTGCCTAAGATTATCCAAGGCTTTTTCAGGAAATTATGTCCCAATTATGTTACCTCATATAGGCATTGATGTGTGATGGAAGCAGAAAAGCATGCCCATAGCTATGGCATGCCTCTTTCTGTGGTCATTAACGCTCAGATGCTTCTAGCAAAACAGGGGCAAGGGGAAGAAAAGACTGTTGTGGCCTTATTTCCAAGTCTGTGCGTAAAATTTTCTATTGTGACATAAAATGGATTACAAAAAGCAAATACGTTGATGAATATGTGACTTTTTCATGCATGCTGAAGACTTCATAAAAATGTTGACAAGCACAGAGCCCTGTTGATGTATTTCTTATTCACACAGGAAGTTGGGACAGGGAATATCCACTCTGTTGATGCTGTCTGTGAATCCATTACAAGTAACAGTTATGTAATCAGATTTTCAAATAACTTTTTCAAATAAGTTACTTTGTTTTCCCGTTTATTCACTGATACCTCTCCTGTCCCTCTGTTGAGAGAAAATGGGAGTGAGGTGCAGAGGCACTTCCTTCAGGCTGAGGCTTATCAATTTCACTTTTAGTGTGAAAGGACCTTTACAGTTGCCAAAAACATAACTTTTAGGTTTTTTGTTATTAAAAAAACAAATAATCAAGCCCAGCCCAGGTGACAAAAATAAACACAAAAGTAACATAATGCATTACTTGCCATAAAAAGTTTAATCTGATTTCTCATGAAACAAAAATTTTACATTTTAAATATTTGTATTTGCTAGCAATGCTTTTACAAACAGGTTCAATCAAACCTACACATAGACTAAAAACACAAAAAAGTGATTTCATTATGGATTTTAATAAATAAATGAAGGTTAGATAAAATATGTCCCTAAAGGTGGGTTAATAGCAATTTGAAAAATTCTTAAAAATCATTTAATTATGTAGGCAGCAATGGCTCTGTGGAGTTTAATGACAACAAGATTGAAAAGGCATAAATTGAATTTAATGATGAACCTGTTTACAATGAACCCAGGGAAGCCGTAATCGATTATCAAGTTGCAATTGTCCTTTTTATTTTCAATATTAAAAAGTCAGCCAGCATTCTGTCCTACAGCATAAACTCTCTCCCCTTTTCTGCTCTCAATTGCTTTCTCAAACTTTTCCCCCAATTCTCTGCTACATGCAATTTGGAAATTACAAATGACCTCTTGTTTTGAAAGGACTGCAATCTATGGACCATTAATGATTTATTCAATTGAGGTAATTGCGTTCTACTCAAGCAATGGCCACCCCTTGTTGCACTTAACATTAAAATTAAATTTAATTTCCTGGCCCAACACTCAACTTAAATTGCTAGTCAAGTAACAGACGCATTAACCTGAAGAGGAAAAAAAAAGGAATTCATGGGCCACATTGGATGTCAGCTGTGAATACATGGTAATAGCAAAGATGTTATTTGTTCAATATAAAGAGCCTCAAGGCAAAGTCTCAGGAGAGCACTTCATTACTGCAGGCTCCTATACATATAAACATTATCTTCTACCTCATCCTCACTATCTCAAAGAAGCACACGGATGACTGTGAAATAGCAACATGGCTCATTTCATCACCCCCTGTTCTGTTTTATTAAATGTGAAGTGTGTGATTTCACATTGAGGAAGAAACTGAAATTTAAGTGGTTATTTTCATCATCATGTTTTTGTTTAACTATTCATTTAAGCTGGGCTAAAGAGAATGTGTAACATCCACATTATTACACACTTCACCTTTATCAAACTGTTTACCTCAGCTGACTTTATTAAGGAAAGACAGACAGAGACAAAGAGACACAGCAAGAGAGAGAGACAATTCGCACTGTGCTACATTGACTCATCAGAAGTGTTTGTCTTCATATTTCCTCTCCAGGTTCAAGTAAAATTACTCAAAGCTTCAAACTCTGCTTTTTAATATGGACACCATGTTGCTTCCGACAGCTGCTTAGTCAAAGTATTTTATATCCACATCTGAATTACTATCTTAATTAGAGTCATTGTTACAGCAGCATTAATCAGACTGAAATATGGCACTGACCTAAAATACTCATTCCGACAGCGTTTACAAAGCCTTTACAGATGCTACATGTGGCGTATGTCCTCAGTGTTTGACCCATCACCACATACTTGTCAAGAGCCTCTCAGTTTATGATTGGTCAACAGCAGCTAAATTAAATGCAAGGGGCAATTATACAAGGTCATGTATTCTTAGACAGTGTCTCTGCACACATCCATCATCCTCCTTGAGTCTGTCTATCACAGTGTCTGATCTAGCTCTTCATCACCGCTGCTCTCTTTACGGCCTCTCTCTCTGCCTCCTGATTCACAGTGAGAAATAGCTCAGAGCCCTCAAGGGAGGTAGCCCGCAGGAGCGAGTGCGAGTGTATAGGTGTATGAGTGTGTGGCCTCATTGCAGACATGCTCTCTGATTAATCAATGCCTTAAACACAGAGCACAACGGAATAGCCCAAAGGCTCCCAAAGGGGATGTAATGCAAGGTATAAAGCACCTTCCAGCACAACCTCTTTGAACTCACCATCTGCTCCGAGACCTCAGGTGGATGGAGAACATATACGTCACCGATTAACGATCTTCAACAAGTACAGACCCCTGAACAAGGGTAAGATACCTAAATATACACTGATTCTGAAAGGGTTTACCATATCATTTACATGGCTTTCAGTTAAACCTTGAGGCAATGGCTTAGTGGTCAGTGCAGGGACAAGACAACCATAGACATGGATGGAGACAGGTTCTTCCCAATATTCGGATTTGCTCTATACTGATATGGGTATTTTATTAATTACATTTAGTTCCCTACATTCAAAAACTCCAACTGTGGTCCTTATGTGGATGAAGCAGGTCCTATTCCCTAGCCAACACTTAAATTTGTTCCACCGTTGCTATAAAAATAAGGCTAAAACTAATAATGGCACTCATTTATTGGCGTTCCTGAATTTATTATGTCGGATAAATACAATCATGCAAAAGTTGTTTCTGGTTCACCGATCTAATTGGTCAAGCAGCGTTTCATATGGTCGAGTGGTCATATAAGAGTACAATATCACTGGGACTTGCTTGTTTGTTGTGTTTGTCAGTGACACTTTCTGCAGGTTACATTGCTATGCCAGTAGGTGGCAGTAATTGACTGTTTTTGTGATTGAGACATTGAATCATTCATTCAAACTATTTGTTCAAAAACACTGGTTCATTCAGGAACGAATCAAGGGAACAAATCAAGTGTTAGGCTGTGTCCGAAATCGCATACTCTCATGAGTAGGTACTTATTCTAAATAAGTAATTACTTTGCGGCCGCTAAAAAAGTATGTTCTATATAGTATGAATCTGTGTAGTATGAATGTAATCTGGACATACTACATTCGCCATGTTGTCATTGTCACGTGACCGATCAGCTTCACTTCACTATTTACAAATCCTCTCCCGTGGCCTTATGGGGTAGTATAATAATTTATGTTTCCTGATTTAAGAAACCTCCATGAATTTAGTGTCATCCAGTAAACAGAGGTGGTAGAAAATCATGTCCTCTGTAATTCATCACTTGACATTGTCATGTTCTTTCCAGCAGATTTTGGCCTTGCCTAATTAGACTCATTCTTGGCCAACCCACTCTTATTCTCAACACATTTAGCTAATTAAAGAGCTTAATCTAATTCACATTTGATTAACCAAGAACCCAATGAAGCCTTAATGTTGACAGCAAGACCTCGGAGAAAGCTGTTTTCGAAAGCTGGTGATTTAATTGGGTTTGAAATTTAAGAACCGCAGGCCACGTGTGATCATATTTTATTTCATAATTTGGTCTGTCTCTAAAACTGATAGCAATGTCTCTGTTGGCTAACAGCTATTTGAGTTGGAAATATATGTTGAAGTGGATATTTATTCTGTTTGTGAGGCAGAAAGACATTCTGTACTAAGATGAACCAGTTTAATAATGCAGAGAAATTCTCAATGAAATATCTAAGAATCAAAGCAATATGTGACTGTACTGTTTAACATTTTTCTTATTTTAAAGAACAATACTGTTCAATACTGTTTTGTCACAGGGACACAAACAACCATTTTGTATTCAGGTGGTCTTCTGAGAATTGATGTTTGTAGTGCTTGCATAACAACTGTCTTATTAAAAAGTGCTCTCTCTGCATCCCTTGTTTGCTAAAGCAATCACATACTCACACAAAGTCACATAGAGCATGTAAGAAATCCACAAAGGATTCATCTGTAAAGAATATCAAAGAGAGCTGTGGGTTTTTTGTTTGAGCAGTAAATAAAGGCTATTGAATTCTCTGGTACTTCTAAGTTTATTTGAAAGATTTTTTTTTTGCATCAAGAAGCCACGAAGATCAAAAGGCAAGGAGTTTTTCCAAAGTTTAATTAATAAAAAGCATCATTTAAAACCATATATGAGACAGAGAAATGATAAATGCATTGATAATTGATCAAGAAATTTGTAGTTGCCTTGATTAAAATGAGATGAGAATCAGGACAGTTTGAGTACATAATGTTTTTTTTCTCAACAATTGCTTATTCAGTGAATGAAATGCTGCACTGTTCTTGCGTAACATCAGGCCTTTGTCATTGTCACGTGACCGATCAGCTTCACTTCACTATTTACAAATCCTCTCCCGTGGCCTTATGGGGTAGTATAATAATTTATGTTTCCTGATTTAAGAAACCTCCATGAATTTAGTGTCATCCAGTAAACAGAGGTGGTAGAAAATCATGTCCTCTGTAATTCATCACTTGACATTGTCATGTTCTTTCCAGCAGATTTTGGCCTTGCCTAATTAGACTCATTCTTGGCCAACCCACTCTTATTCTCAACACATTTAGCTAATTAAAGAGCTTAATCTAATTCACATTTGATTAACCAAGAACCCAATGAAGCCTTAATGTTGACAGCAAGACCTCGGAGAAAGCTGTTTTCGAAAGCTGGTGATTTAATTGGGTTTGAAATTTAAGAACCGCAGGCCACGTGTGATCATATTTTATTTCATAATTTGGTCTGTCTCTAAAACTGATAGCAATGTCTCTGTTGGCTAACAGCTATTTGAGTTGGAAATATATGTTGAAGTGGATATTTATTCTGTTTGTGAGGCAGAAAGACATTCTGTACTAAGATGAACCAGTTTAATAATGCAGAGAAATTCTCAATGAAATATCTAAGAATCAAAGCAATATGTGACTGTACTGTTTAACATTTTTCTTATTTTAAAGAACAATACTGTTCAATACTGTTTTGTCACAGGGACACAAACAACCATTTTGTATTCAGGTGGTCTTCTGAGAATTGATGTTTGTAGTGCTTGCATAACAACTGTCTTATTAAAAAGTGCTCTCTCTGCATCCCTTGTTTGCTAAAGCAATCACATACTCACACAAAGTCACATAGAGCATGTAAGAAATCCACAAAGGATTCATCTGTAAAGAATATCAAAGAGAGCTGTGGGTTTTTTGTTTGAGCAGTAAATAAAGGCTATTGAATTCTCTGGTACTTCTAAGTTTATTTGAAAGATTTTTTTTTTGCATCAAGAAGCCACGAAGATCAAAAGGCAAGGAGTTTTTCCAAAGTTTAATTAATAAAAAGCATCATTTAAAACCATATATGAGACAGAGAAATGATAAATGCATTGATAATTGATCAAGAAATTTGTAGTTGCCTTGATTAAAATGAGATGAGAATCAGGACAGTTTGAGTACATAATGTTTTTTTTCTCAACAATTGCTTATTCAGTGAATGAAATGCTGCACTGTTCTTGCGTAACATCAGGCCTTTGTCTCCTCTCTTTCAGAGGTTGTACTGGTACATTTATTGATCTCCTCGTCTAGTGATTCAGATGCTTGGGGCCTTTGTGTTTTTTTACTTCATTGTCCATTTCAGCACAGAAGCAAACATTGCAAGGAGTTCTGTGAACTTATGATTCGTATGATAACTTAAGGTGCGTTATTGAACATCCTGGTCACTTTTTTTAAAATAATACAAATGTATGTGAACTGGGGCTTTCAAGCCCCAAAATGACAGAACGTCACCATCACATCAGCGTCAAAAAAGTGTCTATATGACTTGAACGCTATATTCCATGTCATGCAATAGGCTTGTGTGACAAACAGACTTAAATCATTAAGTCTTGAAAAAGTGATGATTTAAATCATTAGCTGAAAATCTTGACAGCCATTCTAGTATCATTCTTTTAAATTAGATTATTTAAATGAATCAGTTCACAAGACCGGTCAGAATGATTTGTATCTTAAACTGATCCACTTTTCATTCTCAACTCAGTAACTCTGTGATTTTGGTCTGTTCTTCACACAAAGCTATCATAAGACTGATGAGGCTTATGAATTTTCTAATGCTTTTAGGGGTCTTTACATCCTATTTTAAGGTTAGTCCCATTTCATAGTAATTGCATGAAAAAGACCTAACAAAATTTCTTTACAAAAGAAGCCATACAGGTTTGGAACGAAAAGATGGTGAGTAAATGATGACAGAATTTCATTTTCAGGTGATTTCATCCTACCAAACATGATTCATAATGGAGCATTCATTAATGGATTTAAGGCCTTGGGGAGATTACTTTGAGTCATCACAGACAGTACATTTAAAACTTTCAGAGGTTAAAAGGTACAGAAGCACACAATGATGTCATGAGTTGTCATGATGCATTTGGATTAGTGGCTGACTCTTCATTGGATGTTTCTAGGCCTTACAGCAGAACACAGCACAAAACCCTACTGTGCCTTCAAGTTTTGCAGTTGCTGCTAGTTGTCATTTTGATACATTGAACATCAGGGTACTTGACAAGCCTTAGATGGGGAAGGCAAATAAAGACAAAATTATTGCCGGCCATTTCTGACACCGCAGAGGATGCGTGACTATACTGTCTAGAGCGATGGGTCTCATAGGGACTGTTCTCTACACTCCAGCAGTGCCAAACAAGAGTGAAAATAGTACTGACTATTTTATATATCTTTGTGAACATGTCAATGTTGACAGAACTTCTCTCATTACAAAATTTGACAGTATTTTAATGCCTTTCTAGGATTTCTTTTATATAATGTCATAATTGACAATTATTAGCTTCTTGCTAGCCCACTAGAAAGGGTCTATGCTATAAAAAACCCAACATACACGCTTCACCTTGATAGAAAGTGCTTCAGAAACCACAAGAATTAATCTGTTTGTAGGACAGCTTCGAGCTTCTTTACTTTTGTTCCTACTAAGGCAGAAATGGTATATGAGGCAGGGACGTCTTCCAGGAGCTTCAACATTGTTCATAAAAAACTCCAAGGACTGTCACACAAAGTCAATAGCCTCGTCTAGTCATGGTGATGCTGAATTACTTTTGAATATTTTGTTCTTAATTTCTCCCTGAGTAGTTGTTTTTCACTTTCTCTTGATTTTCTCCTTGGCTTCATCTTGGCTTTTCAATATCTGTCCCTCAGCAGCTTATTGGCTGCTAAGAGAAAGTACACCGCCACTGGATTTTTATTTGCCCATGCATACAAGAAGTGTAATGGGCACTAAAGCGCTCTGATTGAAGCAGAAATCATATTGCCTTTGATTGCCCCATGAGACTTAAAGAGCTGCCACATGGCCGTGAATTACATTGTGCACAGGCAGCCATGGTGCGAAGCCTAGCCTTTCTCAGCAGCAGCGGGAGCCGGTCTCTACTGCAAGACCTGCATGCGAATTTGCGATTTCAGCTTCCTCGGCAGACCCTCGGGTACCTCCTCAGAAGCAAAGAAATTCGTTTTTTTTCCCATCTGTACATTCACCATCTTTCCTGTATTCTTTATTTATGCCCCCTCTCTTTAGACTCCATCTGCTCAACTCTACAGACGTACAGTACAGAGAGCTTCACTGGCCTTGCACGCTGCTGAGAGTGAATGGGAATTCAACAAAGGCATGCTGGGTGTGTATTTAAAGTTGGGTATAACCGTGTGTCCTGCCTGAAAGTTCATCTCATGAATCACAGTTGGGTGAATGACTGTTATTAGCATTGACAGTTAAGAGCAGTAATGGCGGCCTGCTTGTCTTTTGATTACACCTTCAAATGAGGCAGTCCATCATTCAGTATGCAAGTATGCCAATACTTAGACAAGACGTCAAGATCAATGCCTGCTGATTGTTATTTCATAACAACTGCATGGTAATTACAGAGTGTTATAATAATTGCTAAACATGGTCAATTATGTACAACCACAGTGGACAGGTTGAATAGCGAAAGTTGATTTAAAATACACACTTGTTGTAGCAGCTCTGCAACATCGCTCTGTGATTCATCTCATCAAAGTCTCTCAGAAACATGTTCGCATTAATATCCATCAAAATGTGACAATAATTGTGTTGCTGTCTTCCTCTGCAGTTAAATGAAACTGTATAATGGACAAGGTGGATGACAAGTTAAATTGCCTGGAAGGTAAAAGCTGAAATGTTTGAACCATGATGGAAAAATTGTGAAATGTTTGCAACTTTTTGGAAATCGTTATTCAGGACGTGTCGTCAGCACTGTGCTTCTGAAGAACGAGAAACACTGTTCAATTATGAAGCTATTTCTAAAGAGAACAGCTATTCCCTTTGCAGTTATGACTTTCTCATTATTACTATTCTAATATAAAATGGCAACGTTTAAGAATCAATGCATAAAACTGTATTTTGTTATGAACTGCTGTGTTATTGAACTGCTATTCCTTGATAATAATTTAGGGTTTTGTCCAATACAATAATGAAAACTGGTTTGTAATGAGAGATAGGATGAGTCAAATAACTGCTATGCCTCATTAATTTTATAAAGCCACCATATGAAGGCCCAAAAAGTGCCACATTTTGCATCATGCATCATTAACGGAACAGATTAGGTATGACTAACCAATCTAAACATTGGATGCTCATGAATCTATCCAGGTGAAAACTCTAAGCAAACCATAATTTTTATCCAGAAATTCCTTAACTCTCTATTGTCTTGAGGAGGCATTTGTTCAAACACTAACCTATAGTGTAAGCTAAAAAAAATCTTACATTTATGTTGAAGTGCTGTATTGGAAAATATAGTGCAAAAACAGGTGCTGAAAACAAAAAATGTCCTTGACGATACCTCTAAATGTAGTTTTCTGGACTCCGCTCACCACCCCTTAAAGACTGGGGTCACAAAACAGCATTTTACATGCAGCCTTGAGTAGTCATCCTCTGGTGCGATGTGAATATATAATCTCCAAGTAGAATCCTTCCCAAGTGTAATAAAATACCATCCTCACTTCTGCCCTGCTTCTCAACATCTTCACCTCTACACCGACCAGTGAAAACCATTAGGCCTTGGGAGCCACTAAGTAAGGGCATCGCATTCCCTCATGCTAACCCCCCTTCCTCCTTCCACTTCCTGTCTGCTGTATCATGTCAGAGGATGATGTGCTACTCGGTATGCAGCCCGAGGGACGAATGGATGGACGGCATAATGGAAGAATGGACTCAGAATGAGGATAAGCTCTGCCCGACCCGACTCATTACAGACTGGCCTTGCCCCGTAGTCTACGCTCCGGCACGCATGAAGCCGCCAGGGCACCCCGGTGGATGGATGGACAGGGAATGAGAAGGGGGAGGGAACACATAAGGAATAAAAAAAACAGCAGGGTCTGAGAAAAAGTAGGCCGATGATGATGTGTCACAATGCCCACTTAGAAGCAGCGTCACCTAACCTACATTTATCTGGATACCTTTTTCTCAGTGGCTGTGTATTAGATGTGTACATGCTGGCAGAAGCATGAAGCGCCATGTTGCTTTATGCCAGCGGTAATGGAGACCACCAACATAGACAGCAACCCACTGTTTAGGGCAGTAGGGTTAAATGCAAGGAGTGCTCCCTAAAGAGAACTAAAAAAAAGCACAATATGCTGGAAATTGTTTTTCATACAACTGTTTTTGTAAAAATCTAATACTAATAATTGTTTTTCCAGTGTTTGTTCATCCAGTGCTGTTGAACTTAATTAAAAATAACAGCAGATGTGATTGGGATCAGATGTGAATATTTACTCATATAAAACTAAATATTTAACTGATTGCATTAACTGAAGTATTTGTTTTTCTCTTTGCTGTGCATATATTTAGTCCTTAATCCAGTAACATCTAAAACCTCTATGAGGCTGAAAATGTTACATAAGCAGATATAATTAAATTACCAGCTCACTGAAATAAACGGTTAATTAAAGTTTGAGTTCAGCACATTATAGGTTCTCGAAACCCACTCACTAGGAGATAGTTAAAGGTTGAAACTGTAAACTGCTGCACAATTACTGAAGGTGGGCTGATGCTTACTGCATGCCACGGACAACAGTTTGGTAGAAAGATTAATGCAGCTTTCATAAATTACAAATAGATGCTGGAAACACTGAGATATGAATCATGTTCCTAATTTTTTAGTTCACACAGGTGGATAAAGAGTGGTGGAAAAAGATATTTAAAATGTGTAAAAAGGCCACTTTAATGAATTTAATATTACTGAACATCATTCATTAGTGGTGGTATTTGCCTATCTGGCCATGGGTTTAGAATAAAACACACTTAAGTAAGGTTAAACTAAACACTTGTCTAAAAGCACTCCATTAAAGGTATACACTTCTGCAAGAGAACATAATGCTTTGCAATGAACAGCCATTCAGAACCATTTACAGTTACAGAGGGTTATAAGAATACACTTTTGAATAACTCTTGTGCCATTTTCTACACTTTGATTTATTGAATGTAAAAATATCAAGTAAAAAAGTACTAAAATACCTTGAATCTTGAATACAAACACTTGAACACTTGTGTCAAAACAAGTGGCATTTACTTTGAAATGTCAGACAGAAGGTTTTCAAATATTGATAATATTTTAAAACAAAATGTTTTTCATAATAATAAAATTATTTTTACAAAAACAACACACATTTTTCAAGAATTTCAGAAAAGAGTATCCAATGACAATTTTTTTCTTTTTAAGTTATCACATATCAAAATGACTTTTAATTCAGAAACTGAAAGCAACATCATAGTAGATCAAGTCATTTTATGAATGGCATTTTAATTTATTTTTTTGAATTGCATACTACATCCAGACAAAAAAATGAATGTAATAATGTTATTGACCCATTTGCTGTTTATTTGATTTTATAATTAACAGCCTTAATAGTCCAGATGAAAAATGTATTACATTAAATTGATCCTGTTGAAACATCTGACCTAAATGAAAAGCATACTATGTTTTACGTGACTAGAAAAGTAATAAACCTTCACAAAGGCAAAAAATATCCATTCCAGGGGGCAAATATTGTCTCCAAATATAAAAAAGTTCATTTCTGACACTGCCTCAAACCCACATCAACAACCCACCCCATTAAGATGTGAATGAATAAGACCACACACACACTTTTAAAACAGTGGAATAGACCATTAGCCCCAGTGCACACAATTACACTTCATTTAGACTACAGACTAACAGAAACGTATTGTGGAGTGACGGTTACATTTGCAGCCTACTAGGTCTGCAATGTGAAGCTTTAACGCGACAAAATAATGAGAAAATTCTAGGCTTGGAGAAGGTAGGAAAGGGAAAGACTTTATTGTAGTGGGTACCTTCACGTTCGTGTGTCTGTTCACACCCCCAGCTCAGCTCCACAACGAGGCTGAGGGAGACACGGCGTTCAATTACACCGGTTGCCAGTGAATAGAAGGGACGAGGCGCGGGGAAATACACGCCTGTGCCGTCAGTGAAATGCGCCTGAGATTTAGCCCCTGAATGCACACGACGCCACCGAAATGCCGGGCTGGAAGAAAAATATCCCCGCTTGCCTGCAAGCCGACCAAGAAGGAGGTATGAAAAGCAGTGCTTTAATAGTTTTGCTTTTTGCACGAGCGTTGTTTCAGGGGCGCGTTCTGCTTATTGTTATGGTCTAGCGGGTTGTTTGTTACACTATAACTGTTGATGTTTGGCGCGAAATGTTTGGAACGTTCGGCGCTACGTTGTATCAACTTTTTCCTGGTGATCAGTGGATTGAAAGATAATACCGCGCCCGCCGTGAGGAATTCCGTAGTAATGCACTTGCTCGACCGGTTTCTTTCCTTAAATCGACATTTTAAAGGCTGTTTACGCTTACTTTCCTCTTTTATTGCTTCCTTTATTTTTGGTAGAATACATTTGGACCTCTGTTGTTGCCAATGCACCGCCCATATTGATAGTAGCCTATAGATAGTATATGTTCATAGTACTCAGTTTTAAAAATGTTGCCTCTACAGTCATGACATTTCTGTCGCTTCCACTTGGCTTGGCTGATAACCATGTGTATGCGGTATGTGACAGTTCATTTCCTATTCGTAAACCGAATGTATAATACACACCAATGGAATCGTGTGATTGTAATTGTATGTCTGTCATATGGGCTTATCCTTTTGCTTTAAAAGTCTCCATAGCCGTAGGGCATGAATTGCAGCTCGTTGCTGTCTGTAGCCGTTGTTATTTAACGTTTAAGGTGTGTAAATAGAAATGTTCGCTAATGGTGTTGATTTTTCCTCACGCACAGGTGATTTTGCGTTAGAATTCGGCGACAGAATTTCACTGTTCAGAACCTAATGAAATCTTATCCATCACAGCCATGCATGTCGAGTGGAACGGGTCTGAATGGTCAGGGGAAGAAGTCAGGCGCACTTGCCCACAGCTAACAGGCAGAGTACACCGAGCACGGGTTTATAATGAATCAAATCAAAGCAGAGTGGAATGATCATGTTTCAAAGGACAGTTAAATATGTTTGCACTTTGCACACGTGGTTTGTCGGTGTAAAGATTGTTTGTTATACATATGGAGCAGCACTTAGGGCAAATATTGATGCAGTGTTTTTTTTTTTTAGATAATAGGTAGATCTTTGGAAAGGGCTGTGTTC